GTAATTCATGTTTATTGTTTTTATTTATTGTTTAATAAACCAGACTTCCTGAGGAAGACGCAAAGCGTCGAAACGCGTAGGAGGGAAGGAAGAAAATTTACTTTCGTTTCTCTTTTTCATCGGCCGAAGTAGCTCCATATCCCAGCAAACAAACAAAAATTGTTTATTTATAAAAATTAACTCAAACTAATTTTTTCGGTATATTATGGGTTTATTCGAAATTACATATATTCCCATTAGTTATGTAACCCGATTTCATCATTTGACTGTCTTCGTAGTAGCGCATCCTGTTAACCGAGTTCTCCAAGACCTTGTTGTTGGTTTCTGGCTCTATCGTAAGAAATGCCCGACATACGCTTTAATGGCCTGAATCGTTAATAGATTGTTCGCATTATATTGGTCCTTCACGGCATGGCACAAAAAATTCTATGGGCGTGAAATTGCGGCTCCGAGGGGGCAATTGACTTCATAGAGACAGCTGATAACACAATTACCGAACTTAATAATAATAATAATAGATTGGCGCTTACACATATGTTAGTGTTTGGCCAACTTCTCCTCCGACTTGTGGCGTGCGCCTTGATGTTGTCACACAAAGCGGAGGGGCCTACAGTTTTACGCCGACTCCGAACGGCGATTGTATTTTTATGAGAAGCTGTTTTTCATGGCAGAAATACACTCGGAGGTTTGCCATTGCCTGACGACGCTCAAAACAAAAATCGAATAGATGGCAACCCTAACAAAAAATATTTTCAAACAAAAGTTTTATTAAAACTCTTTCTTTTGCCACTCATATTTTAATACTTCATTAAAATTGTGTAAAAGCTACATAAATTAGGCTTTTCAAACAGGTGCAACCTTCTGCGAAGCATTTTCAAACTGAAATCTTTTAAAGCTCTTTCGTCTGATACTTTGATACATAATTCAATTACCTGAAGAATTAAATTAAATTTAATTTTTTTATCACCTGGCAACTCTCCTAAACAGTTCAGATATAAATCCTTCTCAAACCCATGAACGATTAAATCACCTCGTTTAGTAATTTATTTAACTTAACTTATTTAATAACTTACTTTATTAAACTTAATAATTCACTCAAATTTAAAATTTTCAACAGCTGGAAACTCTCTTCAAACCATCAAACAAAATTTTGATGTTTAAACTGAAGATTTCTTAGCACTCTTTCGTTTAACACCCATATTTTAATACTGCATATAACTAAATTCGGCTTTTAAAGCAGGTGGAAACCCTTTTCGAAACATTTTCAAATTACTACCTTTTTAAACTCCTTTAGTCTGGACCCATGTGGGGGAACATTTTGTAAATTACCTATGTAATTTTCCTGTTTAAAATTTCATTTGATTTTTTAAACAGGGGCAACACTCTCACAGTTAAGAAGCAAAGTGTGTAATAACCATTTCGACTGATACCTATGGCAACTATTTTCAAAAAAAAAAACCTCATTGCACATCTGCAACCAAGCCTTTTAATTTGACTCCTCATTTTTGAAAATCGAGCGAAGGATGGGGATATGATGGTAATGATTTATAAAATAATCTCAACTTGATTTTGTAAAAGGTGGCCATTCTTTCCGGAAAAGTAAAAGCCTACTGCACATCTACATATCAAGCCCTTTAATTTGATACCTAATTTTTGAAAATCAAACGAATAGTTCAGATCTGATGACCCTGACAAATAGTGCTTTCGCGTATTATATATATAGATATAGTTAAATTCGACTTTTTAAACAGGTGGCAGCCCTTTTGAAAAGTAGTTTCGCGTTAAGATATTCTTAAGTATTCTTCATCTAACATTGCGATACATATTTTAATCAACTGATAAATTAAGTTGAATTATATTAATTAAACATGTGGCAACTCCGCTAAATATAATTCAGAAATAAAGATTTTCCAACCCCCCTTTGATTTATACACATATTTTAATAATTCATTTAACTTATTTAATAATTTTAATTTAATTTTTAAGAGGTGGCAACCCTCTTCCACACCTCAAATATATTTTGTGTATTCAAACTAAAGTCTTCTTAATATTCTTTCGTTTCACATCATTATTTTGACATTTCATACAACTTCTGGATAAGTTAATTAAATACGACATTGCAAGAAGGTGGCAACCCTCTTCAAAATATTTTCAAAAGGCCACCTTCTGAAGCCCCTTTCGTTATGTGCCCATATGTTGAAACATATTCCTCCTAATTAATTTTCTTAATTCAAATTGAATTTAATTTACTAAACAGGTGGCAAACCTCCTAAATTTAAGTTTAGAGACAAATATTTTCAAAACCCTTTCCACTGACACCCATTTTGTAATAATTGATTTTTTTAGATAATTTGAATGCCATTTTTTAAAAGGTGGCAACTGTTTTCAAAAGAGTAAAACCTTATCGCATATCTGCAGTCCAAGAGTTTTAATTTGACACCTTATTTTGGAAAATCAAACGAACGGTGCTGTTATGACGGCTTGCTTATTATATAGTTAATATTCAATTATTCTACAGTTGGCAAATCCTTTCGAAAAAATAAAAGCAGTTTGCACATGTACAGGCCAAGCGCTTTAATTTGACACCTTATCTTTGAAAATCGAACGAACGGTCCAGATCTTTTATGCGGAACAAAAAATGCCTTCGCGTATTATTTTGAACTTAATTTTTTAAAAGTTGGCAACTCTTTTCGAAAAAGTTAAGCCTTGTTGTACACTAGGGATGGGTAGTGGGGGGTTGAAATTCGATTTTTTCCGAATTTCG